AGAGAGAGAGAGAGAGAGAGAGAGATAATATACCGTACATGAGCAGGGTCTTATGCTCCCACCTTACTCTGCACTTAAGAAAACAACACACAGCACTAGGGTCAGCATTATTCTGCTGAGTTAGTGGTGTTTTTACAACTTTATTTCAAAACACTGAAACAGTGGCCTACATAATCATTAAGCCTAATAAGTAGAGAGCAAACTAGAATAAAAGAAACAGTTCTCTTTAAATGTGTAAAATGAGAAGTGCCGATGGCTGTTTAGTGCTCTCATTGGCTGTGGGGTCCACGCCTGGACAGCTGTACCACAGTACTCGCTGCTAAGTTCTCAGCAACCACACACACGTTCACTGTTAATCTTTACGTTTTGCTAAAACACTAAGATGAGATGTTCCTCGATATCTATCTTGTAAATTTATTTGCTCTACAACAAAATCACTCACGTGGCTGATGGCTCTAAATCCAAACTGTAATTTGCCCTCATACAGAACTGGAGCACTGTGTTGGTACAGCTCTGCTGTTCACTGCTCCTCTGAAGTGCCATATGGCACACTTGGGTGCTATCGACAAGAATAAGTGAACCAGTAATATGATGCAAGAAAACTGACAAGCTGGTTTTTAGTCTGAGAACATTCTAGAGCGGCGGTCACCAGCTGGTGGTCCACAGGCCACTGGTGGTCCGTGAAGTCCGAAAGGTTGGTGACCAGAGCCTTAAGACGTTGTTTCAGTAGACAGACAAAGGTGAGGGGTCACTCGGTTCCAACTCAGACTTTTATCAAGGAGGCATCAGTGTTCAGGTAAACTTAAAATTGGTATTTATAGAAGAAAAACTACGTTTATAATCTACTGGAGCCTGTATTGAAGGTTTGTTTATGAGAAAGGATGAGGCTGTCATTGCTATTGTTTAGCCTTAAATTTCAAGAAAGCCTTGAAAAGGACATAAATATTGCTTACAAAATAGAAGACACAGATGATCTATAATGGTCGGCAAGATGTAAACCTGCCAAAAATTATAATGCAATTTCAATTTGAGTGTTTCCCAGACTCTTCATCATTGAACGTTCCTTAGTCACTATAATTGCCACCAACCTGCTCCTCCTGGCCGATAAGACACGGAGCTGGGGCGTCTTCCCGAAAAGGTTGGCTGGAAGCTTCCCCAGTGTTACCTGCACCATGAAGGCTCCACGTGAGCCTCAGAACACAGCTCTGGAATTTTGGTTCTGGTCCCATAGAAGGAAAGCATTTGCACCACCTATTAAAATCCAGTCTGAAATGATAATGACAGTGTGTAGGCAATAAATAAGAATGGGAATAAGAGGAGGCAGACATTGAAGAGCACAGACTAAAGAGGAAAAGGTATGTCTACTCCATCTTTTATTAGTTTCTTGTGTGTCTTTCCAGAATTTTGTTTTTCAAGTTAAACGTTTATTGCACACTCACTGTAGTCAAGTTCTCAAAATACAACGCTTAGCAACACAATTTCACCTTCAAGGACTGTAAGGTTACACCACCTGTATAAAAAGTGATTTTTGTGGAAACATGGTCAAATAATTTGCGGGGGAAAAGTGACACTGGAGTTTTGGGGATGGAGATTCCAGCGTAAGCAAAGGCCCAGAGACGTGGAAATACAGTGTGGTCTACATGCAGTTCTCAGCCAGCCCTGTCGTCAGGCCTTCAGACCCTCTGCCTCTGTCTCCTCTATGTTAACTTTTGCCATTTTACAAACGTACAGCACTTGCCTCTAGTTCACCCATCTTTCTACCCACTTAACTTCCCTGGAAAGCATTTTAGCAAAGCTATTCAACGCATGAAAAGTCCCACTGAAAGTTCCAGTCGTTTTACTCACAGCAATTTCTACTAAGAACCTGGGATGCTTTCTAGCCTTGTTACTTACGTGTTATTCATATTAGCATAAATGTTTTAATCTTAAATGCTCAACAAGGAGCTTTTGGAACAGTAAAAATACATCATTAGGAGAAGTTATTAAACCATTAAAGTTGATTTTTCAAGGAATGTTTAATAAGGTAGATACCATATGCTTTGCTAACATGTGTTTTTATTGGTTGAAAACGGCCTGCTCATCGTGCATACACGGAGAGCAGTTTTAAACACACTGTCATTATCATTTCAGACTGGATTTTAATAGGTGGTGCAAATGCTTTCCTTCTATGGGACCAGAACCAAAATTCCAGAGCTGTGTTCTGAGGCTCACGTGGAGCCTTCATGGTGCAGGTAACACTGGGGAAGCTTCCAGCCAACCTTTTCGGGAAGACGCCCCAGCTCCGTGTCTCATCGGCCAGGAGGAGCAGGTTGGTGGCAAGCGCAGTGCAGGCGAGAAGACGAGGTTTCTTCACGCAGTAGCTGTCCACCCGCCTCCTGCCACTCCCACGGGCTCACCTGGTTCAAGTTCACACCCACACGCTGACCTGATTCCAAATGTTCTGCCTGAACTTCCGTGTTTCCTGAAGATCAAAACTGGAATTCTGAGCAGGAACCTTGCGAATAGCGAATGATGCCTCAGCTTGAGCTCCGAGTTGGGCCCTGCCCTTTGCCCGGGCTCCTAGGTAACCAGGGCGCCTGCCACTGCCTCTCCGGCTGCACCGCGGGAGCCACAGGCCAGCAGCGAGCATTTCCCGGAGCCACAGGCCGCGCCTACTGCTCCTTTGATCTGAGTGCGTGGGTGCCAGTTGGTCCTTTGACCAATAATGCAGCAGAGGGAGGCCGCTTACACTCTCAGCAAAGGTGCCCTGCTCCTCT